AATAAAAAGAGCTGGTGCGTAGGGGGAAAAAACGGGGATTTATGGGCTATTACGATTCGTTCTACTGGTAGAGTTGGATGCGTACACGAGACCGGGAAGAAATAAAACCTTCTCCAGCCATCTGTGTTGAGTCACCCCAAAGTGACCACGTTGATAACTTCCCGAGAATTCTACTTTAGCATCAGCTGATGCCGTACGTATATCAGTGTAGAACACTTCGTCAATATATAACTTCCGATGATAAAATAATTATCTCCAGTATTTCAATTATCAAAAACGGTATCTTCACTATTCGATGTAAATAAGTATCGAAATAAGATATCAGATGTGTATCTTATATATCAAAATATCTTTGAAGTATCTTTCGATGATAAAGTATATATTGTTAATTTTGAAATTGATAAAACGAAAAAGAGAAAGAAATTTTAACAAAAAAATTATATTTGACATAATTAATTAATAAATATTTCCAAAAATAGATGACAAAAATATTAGAGGGCAGTTATTGCCTACAAAAAGATGGAACGAAACCACAGCATGTGAAAAAATATATTGAAGGAGTCAAAATAAATAAAGACATCTCCGAAGCATAAGTTCGATCCTTAACAAGATGATTTGTTATTCTTGGAAACAAATTATGTAAACTACAGATAATATTACTCTTTTCTTCATTTTTCTCAAAATTTAATCGTATAATTAAATCCAAATATTAAATTATTTATTATTCATTTCTTAAGTTTATACGAATAATCAAGTGAGACAACAGTGAACTAACAAAGATCATCGCGTACAATTTTACGCAAGTGTCAATTTGTGCGTGACGATTTTAAATTTACACTACGCAGTACCATGTTGCGACAGAATCAATGTTCTGCGAACGATACGTAAAAACGGAGCATTTTTGCGGCGACAGAAATTGCTCTCACTTTGACGAGGACTCGACTTCCCCGCGCGTCTTCTCCCGTCAACAGGAAATCTCGTCCCTGCCTTCGGCGAAGACGAGCAGGAAATTTCGATCGCTGTTTGACGACGCGAAAGTAACCGACATGCAAGACACGGGGAGCGGAGGACTACTCGTGCGAGCACTGGCGCACGATATGGGCGGCCGCGTGCGTATGTACGCACGCATAAGAATATAAAAACAAGAAGACCGGATGACTGGTAACTGTTTGTTAGTCTTGGGTTTTAAAGTCCGCGCGTCTGTCAGTCCAGAGACGTAATATTAGTGCTTAGTGTACGCTGCCGCCGCCACTCCCGCTCATTCACTCTTTCTCTCTCCTTTCTTCCTCTTTTCCTCCCCCCGTCCCTGCTACGCCGTCGTGCATATCGCACAATTTTGCTCCCTCTTGTCAAGTTTTTTATGTTTCTTCCCGACTTCTTGAAGTTTTCGGGTCATCGTTACCATCGCAATTAAGCTATCATTTACTAATTGATATTTCTAATTTTTGAAGATGTGCAAATTATTTCTAATATATTCCTCGATTTATAAAAATTTCTCTATCAAAATAAAAGTTCTTTATATATCATTTTTGAGTCTGTGTAAAACGCAAAATTTAACGAGATTAATGTGTAACAATATATTCGTATCACATATGTGATAAATTAATAAATCGGATAAAAATGTGATCGTCTGTTATGAAAGAAATTATATATTACACAACTTTTAAAATAACGTTACATTTTTCTCTAACTATAAACAAAATTAATTGCAAAACATATTATTCTTCAGCCATTTACCATCATCATTCAATGTGAAAATGTGAGAAGTTGACATCTTTCGCATTCGCGCGAAAAATTAAAATTAACACGTAATAAGCTCTATTTATCGTCTCGTGTTAGCACCTCCTCCGTAAAAAAACACCTCGATAAGTCATCTAGGTAGACCGTTATAAATAGTCAAAATTACTCGGAGGACCCGAGCAGAACGACGGTGTTTTAGCGGCCATTCTGGAAAAATAAACGACCGTGGCCGCGTAGGGAGCAGATGACTCGCCACGCGGATGCCAACTACTCGTTGGAGTGACAGCCGCCGTGGCCGACGATTGTTTTTCAGTTTACGTTAACGTTTCGCTTTCGTTCCGATACGGTCGTTGAACGAGCTGCGCGGTCGCCGTTGGCTCACGGTCTTTATTGACTGCCGTCTAAATCCGGCTCGAAAGGAGCCTCGTATGGAACTATTTGATTTTATGGGACATCTCCAATCGCTCTCTTCACGCGACAGCCGACGACGAGCTTGTTAAAAGGGTAACCACGAGGCTCCATGCGAGAAGAACGTCGAGACTGATTTTTTGCGCGACGAGACTGACATGTCGCGAGGATGACGTGACTGCCGGAGTCGAAAAACGGTTGCTGCCGAAATGTTTGCTGACAGAGATTTCATCTCGCAAATGACTGACACTTTGGTGCCTAATTAGTCCACGTATCTCGCAATATGTCTGTCGATAAAAATTCCACCCGCTTTAAAACGCACGTCATCCCGTGATCTCGATATTTCGAGCGATTGCTCACGGCAGAAAAAGAAATATCCGAGTGGCAGAAATCGAGCGAAGGAGGAAAAGACGAGAGGCAACAAAGTATACGCGAGGTTGGGTAAAGGACGACGCGGAGGGCGGACGCTGGTCTTGTTCGGGGGTAACTGGAATAAGGTATAATTTTCCGCGCCAATTAAGGTCTTTAAGAATTGCGACCAATTGAGCGGGAGGGTCAGAGCCTTAGCTTTAGGGGAGAGATGTACCACCATTCCCCTATAATTTATTATTGATTAGATCGGATCGAGAAAAAGAGGTCTCTGTACGTAGACTTAAGATTGGCTTGAAATCGTCTGTGTATAGCGGGAGTGTAACGAGGAAATGGCCGACATCGTTTTTCCAATTTCCGATCTGGATATAATGGTAGTACTTGATAGTACACGATCTTTTCTCTAGAAAAGAATTCTCTTTCTCTTAAAAAGAATTGTTTACTAATTGTTGGCAATGCTTAATAAAATCCAAAATCGCGAACATTATCTACAATTTAATGATTTATTATTTATCGCAGCGACACATTTCTTTTATTTTCTGCGTAACATTATGTATTTTTGGCAAAGAGCTATTTGTTTTTCAATTTGTGTAATTGAAATAAAAATTCGTCTGTAAAAAATAACTCAGTTTCCGTAAAAACATGCTGTGCATCAATTAAAGTTTTCAATTATTTTGGTGGTTATATAATTCACATCCGACATGCATCTTTTTAACGAGAACACGAAACGAGGGTACCTCGCAACGATTTGGGGGGGGGTGAAAGTATTTTCTCATCGATATCTCGAGCGTGCGAGGTCATCATCGGACCAAGTCAGGCGTAGTCCACGTTCCTGTGGTTCACACTTAATTAAACCGCCATAGGAACTCGGATGCCAGCACGTGGCGGACAATACCGTGAGTCTTTAGCGACGATTGTTATGTAAAATACACCCTACATATGCACCGCGCAGTTTCTCTCGTATCGTATCGAGACCAGAAGTAGGTACCTACTATCCCGCTTATACCTATGTACAGAGAGAACGGAATAACTTTTTGACACAGCATTAGCTGCGATTCAGCCGGTACAACTTCAATCGTTTTTCATCGAATAGCGAAAGACGTGGCTTCTTTCGTAATTCTTAACATACTTTGCGAGCACTTGGATATCGTGCCAAAATGTCACATTTATTGAGAACATTTTTTTTCTGGTAAAAAATAGATTAATTTATCAAAATATTATTTTTGACAAATGCTAAAGTATCTTAATTTATATCTATTGTAATTTATTTTACAGATATTACATTTCTTGAAATATATATTTGCAAAAGAATTTTTATGAAATAATACATATATCTAAAAATAATAAAAATGTGAAATAAAAATATCTATCGTATTTGCATAGATCAAAGTATCTATTGTCCAAATAAAAATTAAATATATATATATATATATATATAATATATATAGTGTTTATATAGTGTGTGATTAATATTTCAATATCCATCCTTTTGAAAACGAATAATATGAAAGATAAGAGAGAGAGAGAGAAGAGAATAGGCAAAGAATGTAACAATATTGATCGAGAAACCACAGACCTATAACACAACTTTGTTGTATTTTACTGCAGAGAAAAAATGTTCAAGTTCAATAAATTAATCTGATTATCAATTTGTTGAGCTTGATAACTTTGTTGAGTTACTAAAAGTGTATACTTTAAATAAATACTTGAATAAGTAATCACGACAGACATGTCAATAATGAGACTATTGTCATATGTGACAACCGTGAGTGATTGCTTCGTCGCAAGAACTTAAGCGGCCTTTTATCATCTCTTCGCTGACACGGATGACAAAACGAGAAAATCTCTAAAGTGCCCGTGCGTTTCCGGCGGGGTCGCGACGACTACGATGATCTAATAAAAATCCCCCGTGATCCCACTCCGTCGCGAAATCTTTCTCGACTCGCGCCTACGTCTGGATTGGTCATTGCGGAAAAGCGGCGTCGCGGCGAAAGCCGCGGATTGGCCGTAGGGCGAGGCTTGCGTCGTGACGGAAGCGTCGCGTCCGGTTGCACGTAGGATATCTAAAGCTCCACCTACCTCAGAACGTGTGATATTCGCGCGTGCAAGCTCGATCGGAGAGCCGGGACCGAGAAAGTGGGCGCCTATATTCACGACGAAAAGCGTCACCAAGCTCGTTAAAAAGAAGATAAAAATTATTTCTATGATGTGTAAGAAAATTATTAAGAGCTACTAACATAATTTTATCTTGCGAGAAGTAAGAACTAAATTTAAGTGAATTATCTATGTGAAAAGAGAAATTGTTTACGAGAGAGAAAACACATACACAGAGAGAAAGAGAGAGAGACTCAGAGAAAGAGAGAGAGAAAGAGTGAGACAAAAGAGGAAAAGCGGAGGGTGAAGAAGAGCAAATGTCACTTAGGTGGGGGCTAGTCGAGCAAAAGAGGGAGGCTCTTTTCGAAGGAGGAAGGGAGAGCCGCAGGGTTTGAGTGCGGTAATTCAAAAAATAAGTCTCCGCGGGCGACAAGCACACTTGACCGAAGCACACTCGAATCGGAAGGGTCGAGCACTCGGGAATAACAATTAATAACGTCAGTCGACCTACCAGCGATCCTCTGGCTACTCGAGAGCCTCCAGGGATTATGTGAATGCGGAGGGCGTCTAGCATTCGTCGACCGATCTTCCGCTCCGACGTGTCGGCGACGCTGGTAACGAGTGAAGGGAGTGAGTGATCGCGAGAATTCATCTTATCTTTTGACTTCGAAAAGAAATTAAAAAAAAAAAGTCGAAATTGTGCGAAAAAAGACAAGATAGTGAATTTACACGGTGACAATTTGTAACATGTGACGCGCGATGAGCTTTCTCGTGTGTGAAAATCAATGATTATGAGGAAGAAAATTGGAAAAATTTGAAGAAGAAACATTGCGTATCTAGAAAGAACAGTTTCGAGGCAGTTTTCGTTGTGACAATTGCGAGGTTCTCTACGAGAAAGGATAATATTGAAACGCGGAGTAATGGAGGAGGATAAGCGCAGCGAAGCGTCGCCAAAACCTTCTCAACCGACTCCCTTCAGCATCGCCGACATTCTAAGTCGGAGGACTTCTTGCGCGGATTCGAGGAGATGCGATTTCGAGAAAATTCAGGCCGCCGTTTCCACGCCGACGAAGAGACAGAATCGCGAGTACGAGCGCGTGGAACACGAGCAGCCTGACGGAAGCTACGATCACGATCAGATAATTCATTATCCGCGATTACCCACCCCAGAATTGAACATGGCGCACGAGCTTGATATTCTGAGGAGAAACCTGGCGCAAGCTAACCTGTCAAATTTCAGCGGCATCCCGCACTTGACCCAGGGCACTTTCAAACATCACCTCGAGACGCTGGGAAATCTAACAACGTATCAGCCTGTCAAGGAACCGATGGAAACTTCTCACAGGCAGCAGGACGAAGCGTTGGACATGAGCAAAAATAAGTATTTAGGTACGCGATAACTATTCGCACGAACTAAATTTCGTTGTATGATTTTGAAACATAAAGCGCATCTCTTTTTTGTCTGATATAAGAAAATAATCTATTTAATCTTATTTAAATCTTCTTTCATTAATTTTTTAGTATTGAATTAAATCTAATCTGAATAAATAAAAATTTCATAGACAATTGTTTTTTCAAAATTATTAAAAATATTAATATAAAGATATTGGAAAATCATGAAACACGATAATCTTATTAATAAAAAAAAAAGAGTTAAAAAATAAGATTAATTCTTTTGAAAGAGAAAAGGGTTAATGCACTTGATATACTCCGAGCGAAAACATCTTCGAAATCCTAGAAAACGGTGACCCGCCGGAGGATCTTGTATCGGGCACGAGGATCCGGGCTTAAGAGGTCATTTAAGCAGATATCCGCGTAACAGGCGTGCTCTTTTCGAGGGTTTTTAAAGTTAACCCGAGCGTAGATAACGTAATTGAATGTAATTTTAGTAGCATAAGTGGCACTCGACTCGGCAGACGTCACGAGTACCGGCTACTTCTTGCACTTGTCCGATCTCTGGCCGTACTCTGTTCCGCTGTCTCGAGCACGCAAGGATCCATGGATTACCTCAAAAACCGTTTTAGATCAAGGTTACAATCACTAACGATTTCCGAGTAAACATTCGCGATTGATTTATTCATGACGGATGTAGCGCTAGGTGTTATAGGATAGCAATAATTCTTAGTTAATCATTCGCTCCTGTGTGTACTACTATATCTGCATTATGCTACGTTTTGCACACAAAATAGCAACATTTTTATTCAATCAATTGCACTATTTCGTATCGTATTCGCATTTACGCTATGTATTACATGTAAGAGAATAATGCATCTTTTGATTAATCCATGACTCCTTGGGCCTCCTTGAGCCTTGGGATTCCATGGTACATGTTTCGTAATATCCGTCATCATTGCGATATCAAAAGATATAGAATTATATTATCAATCAACTTGTACTTCAATAGAATTTCATCATTATTGATAGTGTCTACAACTCTATAGATAACTCTAACTGTTTTGAACTAGTATATTTATTCACTAGCGTAAAATGTTATAATTTATTTAAACAGTCTGTGTCCGATTAGATATAAAATTCCAGATTTTAATTCATAACCATCAATTTCTTTATTTTGAACTTATTTATACAAGGTGTACTCAGATGTCAAAGTTATATTATTATAGATATGATAGCATATCAGTAGATGTAAAAGTCATATTATTGTAGATAAGATAGCACACTTCTTCAAAATAATTTAGATCTGTACGAGAGATATAATTCTATAATAACTTTGTTACCAAAATTCATAATAAATTCAATATATTAATTCTAGATAATTTTAAAAGGACCTATTCAAGGCACTCAGAAAATTACTAGTTCACTTTCGAGGGGACATTTAATATGATCGGTAAAATATGATTCAGTAATATTGTCTCAAAGAAGATTGTAAACAGGAAATATACGACTATGTGCGCATAAAATTTCATAGATATTCTAAATATTTCAAATAAAGGATAATTAAAATTACGAGGATACAATATAATGCCTCTTAAAAAGATCGTCACCTGAAACCGCACGACAGCATATTGTTTGCAGCGGCTCGAGGGTGAAGAGGTAGGCACGAGCTGGCACCGATTCAAGGTGCACTCAGAAAATTACGAGTCCACTTTCGAGGGGAAATCTCTCCAGTCATTTAATATGATAATAGACAGCCGAAAGAATCGACGTTGGCACAACAGATTGTTTTTAACACCTCTTATTACGATAATAATTGAGATAACCCTTCCCGACCTTCGTGTGCAAAGACGGACAGAGGAACCGAAAAGCGTTTTAATGGTCTCGAAGGATCATCGATGTAATCAGAGTCGGATCGAAGCCACTTGCTCGCCGGGAACCGAACTCTCGATATAGACGCGGTGTAGGATGTTTGACGAGCGGCGAAGGATGAACGCATTAGCCGGACGAGATGGCATCTAGTTGACGTCGAAAGTGATCAAATATAGATCTCTCTAAATGCCCCGCGTCCCCTACTAACCACCGACGATAAACATTGACGTAGGATGAACGTTTTGAGCGTGAAATAATTATGACATCGCCCAGGAGTTTTACGATTAATTCGCGAATGTTGAGTTAGAAAAATTAACTTCTTTCTCTAAAGTAAGAATTTTTCCCTGCATTTGAAAACAGAGCAATAAATAATCATATCTATAGTTTAATGATAGATTACTTTAATTCCAGAAGATTATTTTCCGCATCAAAAAGGCAACATTTTATTAGATATTATTTTTTTATTAACCATGCGCGGAATTTTATCTCGAGAATCGAAATGTTTTCAAAGATCAGAAATTTTCAGAGGCCAAAATGATGATTTTATATCCAATCAAAATTTGTTAAAAAGAATATATGTTTCAATTAATACGTATAAATTTTTATAATACAGTATACGATAATATAGAAAGAAATCTGCTAGAAATATAATTACTTTTGCTCGACTTTGTCTTTCTTTTATTACAATTGAAAAATTGTAGATTATTTTTTATTCATAGTAAAGGAATATATGCATTGCAAAGTAGCGGATCAAGCGCGTTGCCAAGTAGAAGCAGTCTGATCTGCAATATGATTGTACTCTAGTGGCACTGGTTAAACTTAGAGGAGAATTACCGCGGAACAGGAGCGTAAACATGTCGGAGTAGCGAGTACATGTGTTAATGTTTGTACGAGACATCAAAAGCAACGAAGCTCTCTTTCTCTTTTCCCCTCTCCGATTATTCGCCGTCTCTATGGCCGCTCGCTGATGGTTACTCCGGCTTTTCGGGCTAAACGATTGCTTTACGGTATAGTTGCAGATTCTCGCGTGAATCTAAATATTTATCCGCAAACGAATTTGAACGGAATGCTCATGTTATTCGGAAAATGAAACTTTATGATCAATGCTAAAACTTCGAAAATTGTCCCATTAAATGTCATAATTTATACTATACATTAAAATATTTCAAATCAGAATACCTACTAATTATAAACATTGTTTATACACTAAAATGTCTCAAAGCAGAATACTAATTGTAAAAATTAATAAACTTTAGTTTTTAAGCTTACTGGTTTCGATTTATCCATAAAGCATGTGCAAAAGGTTGTAATTTCATTTATAAAATAGAAATCTATTCCCCTATCTTACAGACGAGACAGAGGATGACGCATATGAATCGCAGAATTCAGGGCAAAGTTTGCAGAGCAGGAAAAAGCGCAGTAGAGCGGCATTCTCGCATGCACAGGTTTACGAACTAGAAAGAAGGTTTGCCGCTCAGAAATACCTGTCAGGACCGGAAAGGGCAGATTTGGCACGTGGCTTGAAATTGACAGAGACGCAAGTCAAGATCTGGTTTCAGAATCGACGGTGCAATCTTTTATCTATGCTTACATATAATCAATTTCAGATTTAATATAATAATTTCGCAAAAAGTTTGCAATTTTGGAAACGTAAATTCGATTTAATCAAGTATATAAGTATCTTTTTCTCATGCGTAGGGGATTTCACGAAGTGATTTTATAAATTGATTTTAGGTACAAAACCAAGCGGCGCCAACAGCAGGAATTAGGCGCCCTCGTAAATTCTGGGAGCGCCAGGCGCGTGGCTGTACGCGTCCTCGTACATCAGGACGAACATTTGAGGGGATTGCCTCTTCGCGGTTCCGGGCAACTTCCCGGACAAATGTCGGGTCCGCAAATGCATCCCGCGAACAAAGCGCTCGGCGGTTTCCCGTATTATTGTCTGCCGTATCACCCGCTGCTCTGCCCGCCCTTACATACCGCTCATATTCAGGTACAAAGCCCGATCACGCCCGATTTTGATCCAAACCAAATTTCGAAAATCAAAGACGAGAAATAAACGATAGACTGCTCCCGGAAGTGCCGATTATCGCGTGCCATATCGAAACGAGTGCTTCAGGGATTAATGCGAAATATCATCATTTAGGACGATGACATTTTAAATCAGTCGTGAAGTGTTGAAGAGATCTTTTTTCCAAAAATTTCAATTTATCTGAGAAATGAGTTGAAAGACTTAAAGTAAGAGCATGCTCAACCATGTCAAAATAAAATTGTGACACTCTAGTCTTATACTTATTTAGATTATAATTAAAAAATGTTTTACATTATTTTTAAAATTTGTTCAGACGAAATTCAATATCACGTTATCGCAAAGTCTTTCAACTGCATTTATGAGCATTTTATCAAGGGAAAAATACTTTTTTAGTATCATAATAACATGCATGATAACTGGATTCACGAATCATCTTATCGAGCTATCTGAAATCATCGTATTTATTGTAATTCAATAACAGTATAGCAAGAATCATGTAAATTAGCCTGTAAATAAGTGTATAAAAATGCAAAAATATTGGGTCTTCTCTATTTTTTTCTGTTATCTGAGATATTAAGCTTTAAATTTAAGAAATAGAGAAAATTCAGAAAAAATTTTCAGTGTGCTAGTTTACTGCTTTTGTTAATCGTTTGATGTTTTTAACTTTCGTTTTAAACTTTCGTTTTTAACTGATCGTTTTTAACTTTAAAGTTGCATATCTCGAAAAAAAAGAAGGGATGACGTTACTTAATTATTGCACTGTCCCCAATTTCCGTGCTTTTTACGGTAATTACAAGAATAATTTTTTATGTAGAAATTGCAGAGCATGATTTTTAAATGAAAAAATGGTAAAAGTAAAAGAATATGTTCTACGAATTGTCAACGGAATGTGTGCAATTATTAGCGGAATGTGTGCAATGTAAAAAGTATGAATTAATTCTTTAATGCTAATAAAATTTGTTCAACGTACGTCATGAGTGTACCATGTTCAAACACAATTTATCGTTTAAGTACACCCAGATGATGGCGTAAATGTCTTTAAATATATGTGTATCACCCGAATTGTCGTATTCTTTTCTCAATTTCCCCTTTTCCCCGGAATTCTTTCAATTTCGAAAGAAAATACGTCATCGCAGGTGGAGAATGGATTTTCTTGGCGGTATTGTAACTTTCTCATAAGGGTTTTAACGGTTGCGTCTGGGTGGGCCCAGCAGACATCAGATATGTTTATTCAGACGCGGAGACGAGCAGGCTTAACCGACGGACGAGAAAAAACCTAGATCTGACACTCATCTGTTGTAAACAAAAGTGTTACATTGCCCTCGCCGAAACGCTTTTCACATTCCGCCGTGTAAATCCTTACGAGGCGGTCCTCGAGTGTCAAGGAATTAGTAGTTTTTACTTTATTTGTTTAGATTTCCTAAGAGTTTTAATTGCATGCGCCAGCAGCAATTATCGGAGTTATTGTAGAATAATTAATAAGCTATTTTAGCCTCAAATATATAACTTTTTTGCAAGAATATTAATTATATATATGAAAAAAAAGATGTATTTAAATCTATCACATTTAGATATCTTTATCTAACTAATATTTTATAAAAAATAAAAATTGATTATATTAAGAAAGTAGTAAATTTTATGCATATTTATTATAAAATAATTATTTCAATAAAATATATTTTTTAGCATGTATCTGTCATATAAAGACGTAGAAAAAAAACTCACATAAAAAATCATCTATCCGTTTCTTTTATAATTCATATTTTTGGTATCCTGAGTATCAACAAACTGTAGTGGCCAGCACAATTTTGCGTGACGCAAGCCACAAATTATTACGACGAGTTCCGACACTAACAGCTACTGTACATCGACACAAGGCCTCGTTTAACGCAAGAGCATTATGGCTTTACAATGTTTAGAACTGTTCTAAACGAAGCAATAATGGACTGCAGAAGCGACTATAAAGTCTGTAAACATCACCGATTTTCCATTACGTACATTGAAACACGAATACGTACGGATAGAAGACTTTACGTTAGTTTGCTTGAATCAATATATTCAGAGAGAGAGAGAGAGAGATTCACAATCAATTTTCAAAATAAGAAGTCATTCCAATAGCAATACAAGTTTATTTATGTCGCGATATTGACATAAAAATTATAAAAATAAAACAAATTAAGCGCAAAGCTCGCCTCATTAGTTGAGACTCGCACATTGAAAAAGATATTTAGTTTCGAAATATTTATATTTTTTATTCAAGAAACTGAAACTGTACCGCTATGAAAATGACATTATTATTGTTTGCACGGCTTTATCAATTTTTATAAAAAGATCTTCAAAGTCTAAGTAGAGAATATATAAACGTAACACAAATTGCTTTCAACCCTTGACTCAGGAATTTGCTATCGACGTAACTGTAACAAGCTCGCAATTTGAAATAGAAGTACGTTGGTTCGAGTGCACCACTGACGGACTTGTCTCGTAAAACGAAAGGAACGATTTAACGCTCAATCAACCGACGAAAGCTAATTTTCATTAGCTGTTAATAGCGCAAGACCACCCTCTCCCTTGATCACCCTCTATGGCTCTACGCCTTAACCCCTCGCTATACTATCCTCCGAACGTACATCTTCCGTTTGTTACTTGAAAGCTTCGTGTGTTAAATGAATAGCATAGAAACCAGTATAGAAAGTTAACATCTACTTTGTGTCGTCCGTCAGACAATTTAGTAATATGACAATGATGTCAATTATATGACATACATACATAAAATAGATAGATAAGATTCTTTTTTATGAATTCTTCTCTCTAATTTATTCCATATTTTTAAACACACGAATTTTTCTAAATTTTAACTTTTTACGTCTTGAAAATTTATACTAAAAATAAAATAATTTTTAATATTTTCAAGTAAATATTCTCTGCGCAAGTAAGTGTGCTAAAAATTAGAATTGCAGCAAAAAGATTACTGGAGCAGGATCGATGTGAATTTTATTAAAAAAAAAGGAGAATCCCGTAGAGATCAATTCCGCCGCTGGAAATCGTACAGTAGTAGCGGAAACCGTGGCGGGATTGGCGTGGAGAGATGAAAATCTTTTTCCATCTGCACTCAAAAAAATGATCTTGCAATAATAGCTAAAATTTTCTAGGTGTATAAAATTAACTAAAACAGATAAATGATTAGCAACTGTTGTGATATTGCATATGTAATTACTTAATCAGTTTAGATAACAGAAACAGAATATATATCTGTATTGTTTGTGAACTTTAAAAAGAAAGTGTCTCTAAAACGCCTATCTATATAAGATCAATCACGTGTTAGATCATGCAATGAATAACATTTAGCAATGGTACCTAAATTTTTCAGAAGCTATTGCTAGAACATTACTGCTATAAATTCTATATGTGACAAACAATGTTTTCACAGATACGAAAAATAGCGATACATTCTTGTTGCGATATCTTGAAATCTAAGTTTATCAGCGAAATATTTTTTTGAGTGTGGTAGTGGTGTCTCTTACAATAGATGTAAAACGGGGTTAGAATGGATTTAAAAATATAATCCAGATGCTTTCGTACGTAAAGCATATTTACGATATTTTATGGATAAAGATACGGAGATAAGAATTTTTCTAAGAAAGAAATCATTTAAAAAATATTAAGGATGTAGAATCAACGTGCAATTCTTAAAACAAAAAAAGGACAAAAATAGAAAAGAATGCGACAGGTTCTCTATTTTCATGATTAAAACAAGCGCGCACCGCGAATCTGATTTCGCCATCCCCTCGAAGTAATATAAACGGAATTGCCGGTTCCAAGTTTGAGATTTCAGTCGTTACTTTCGTCTCTGTCGTCACTTTTTCCTACCTCTCTTATATACCATTCTTCCGACTTCTGACACGCGTTTCAATTGGGATGGTTGCCAAGGAAACCTAGGAGCCGGAGTGTCACATGGACTATTGAAGACGTTAAAGGGGACACCTCTCCTTCTCGCCGAAAACATTCGGAACGCAACGTCAGAAACGGATAAGATTTATGAGTTTAACGAGAACTATCAAATATTTAGATTTCACATGTCACATACCCAGATAAATTAATACCGTTCCTGATTCTAAATGCTTTAATTAAAACCGTCAAATAAATAAAATAATGTAATAATCTTCTACTAATAAAAACTGGATTTGTTAGAATATTATTTATAAATAATAAACATTTATTTTATAGTTATAAAACAGATTCAAAGCTTATAAACTTTGGATTAATCTTTTTCTAAAATATTTTTTAAAATGTGCTTGATTAAAATGTAAATGATTCGAATATTTTCTTATTAATTCAAAACCAAAAAAAAAAAGATAGAGCTGCTGCAATCTTTCAATTTATAAGTACTACGAATTCTTACTCATCCTCGCATGTGCAAAAATTCTTTCTTTTCTTGAAAGTGATATTTATTTTGCTTTAAATTCATAGAGTGAAAGAAAATTGGCTTGAGTATATTTCGCGATTCATCAAACGGGATAAAACTACAGTAATTCTTTAATATACAAATACTACACATTCGTATCTATTTTCATACGTGCAAAAATTTTTCCTATCTTCGAAATTGATGCTTCCTCTGTATTTTGAATTTGCAAAGATGGGAGAAAATCAGCCCGAGTACATCGCGGATCATCAAACGGGTAACGACGCTTGAAGTCTACCGAGAAGAACTTGTCGAGCGAACTACGGAGGGAACCGTTTCCTCCGCTTTTCCGGCATTTCAAAGAAGCAATTTAGCCATTTTTCGTGGCGAAGCGCCGTCGAGGAAAATTGGCGTACGAGCAGCCAATCAGCGGTGTTTCATGCAGCCGCCGCGACTCAAAGAAATTCTTTCGAATATTTCGTAGACTTTTCGTACTTATGAATTACGATAAACCTCGCCAACTCTATCAGCGTCTGTTCGATAATAGTTCGATTTTCTTTGTACTCTAAAATAAAAAATATTATTTATGTTATATTTTTTATTATTTATTTTTCATTTAGTAAAACATTTGATAAATTATTTATTATTTAGCAAAACATTAAACGTATAATTTAATTGCATAAACATAAATAATAGAGTTATTAATAAGTTTTATAGATAAAATCTATAGACTGTCCTTTTAAATGGAAATAAATTTCTTTAAAAAAATATTTATCTGTATACGTACAAATAAAAAATATAGAAATCAATATTTTAAAAATATTTTCTGCAAAAAAATATAAAGGACGCATTAATTGAAAAAAGCATTAATTGAAAGCGACTATTTCATGCGCTGATAAATCAGGCATTTGAGTTGATGTTCCTTAGAGAAACATATCCTTGACTCTCAGCGTAAGCTTGCGCGATAGCTTACGACGGTAGCTTGACGCAAGTTGGTAAAGAAGAATTTCCCAAGTACATATTTTGACAACTCAACTTTTTTTAACAAATAGCCTACATCTATGTAAGTTTCAGAGAAGATTCATATCTTTATCTTTAGATAATTTATTTAAAAATTCTTCTACATGTATATGTAAATTATTATTAGAAATTGTATTATTAAAATATGCGTACTAAAAAAATTAATATTTTATTGAATTTTAATAAAATTTAATCATTAGTAGCAACAAAGCTTTCTACTGTGATTTATATGCATTATACAAAAAAATCTGAAGAGTGACTAATGAGATTTTCATGCAAAAACATCTTCATCTATAACTAAAATCGTTTGATTTGTAAACATTGCCTCTTTTATGCATATGCTCGTCTATTTGCACAACGTCGCGTGCTTTCTGTTTCGGGATACGCGCAAACGTTCGACCCCCTTGTCTTACAAGTAAATATAGGATCAAATTTCTATGTTGAGTGTTTCATGATTGATTATCTGAATACATGATATCGTAATGGAACTGTAATGATTAGAGGACATAGATATATATGCGATGCATATGTGGAGTGATGCATCGGTGCGCGTTTCAAATGTGAAAAATGCGAAAAACGCATTCAATGAAAAGATTAATTTATATATTACTCTCCGGAAACTAATAACATTCTAATGCTATATACATGGCGTAAGAGTTATCCAACTAAACTTGCTTATTCTCGCTTTCGCATTTTTTTAAATTTAAAATTTATTGAAATTTTTATTTCTTTTACAGACCGGAAATTTCTTATTTACTTCAAATATATTATAATGAATTATAATTCCAATCGATATCGATCAAATCACCTTACTAAAAGCTATCGCAGGTGCAGTCAGGTGCACGTCTGAAGACCGCAGTGCAAGTTGCTGTTGCTTCAAGAAAGGATACGATACGACCGCGATATGAGTCTTATAAAATTAACAGTGACATTTTTATCAGCTTGTTCCCATGGCCCTTTATGGCACCAGTAGCACCATGAACACGATTATACTGATGTAAATCGTCTATGTAGGCAGCACTTGACTGCCAGATGACCCGTCGTGTTCGCGCGATAATCTAAAAGGCGCCTATGGCTTCGCTCAAGCTGTCAGAACTCACCTATTTATAAATGCCATTTCGCCATATTTCGGTATCGGACCGCGAACTTTCAAGAGGCATCTGGCTTGAATTTAATTCCTTAGAAATCGATATTGATCGGAAATACATTAAACATTTACGAGAATGCATTTTACTAATAGAAAATGTGTAATACGAATAACATGTACCTGATTTCTTGCAATAATATTTGATCATTCAAGACCGTAACTTTCTCGTATACTTATGCATATCGTATTTCTCATAATTTTACCCTTATTATAAAACATTTTTTGCTTAACATAATTCGATGCCATTTCTTTGAGAGAACGAATATTTGCACTTATCTTAAAATAGAATAAAAATTTTACTTAAACGTGCCTCCTCCTAAAATAAATTTTTAAAAATAACAATTATAAATTATAAAAGGATTAAATTGCTTATTCCATCCCTCAATATATAAGAAAAGTACAACACTTAAATTTATACGCATTATACGTTTAATAGAAAAACTGAACATTTTTCGCAATTGCTGACAATATACACATTCTTGTAAGAACAAGAATAAGAATAAGAATTCAGAAAGGTACTACCTGAACAAAATTAATTTATTGCACAACTAACGTCTGCACTCGAAAGTCAGAAAAAAACTTCCCGAAGCACATCCGCGGAAAAGTGTTCGATGTTTCCGCAAAGACCACTTGAAGCAATTTCCGCCCTCTTGTGCGGCGCGTTACTATTTCGAAGGAAAATCTAGCCAACTAAAAAACAGCTGCCAATATCATAAGCCTATCTACTAGATAGTATAACTCTAACCTTACATTAATCGTATCCATTACAATGAAAGAATATACAGAATATATATTTGGTTAATTACTTTGGTATAGTTTCTCCATCGATATTCTTCGATAATCGAGATTCAGCAATTTGATTTAATGTCAAACGATTAATACGTTAACGTTTTTAACGTTATAAGTGGACATGGAATATGATTAATAAATATGTCTTATTTTTATATAATGTATGTAAGATAAATGTTTAAACAAAAAGCAGTAAAATGTAGTTATTATTTTTTTGTCAGTCATAGCAATTAATTAATTTATAATATTTGATTAATAAAACCTAATTGATCATCAGAAAATATGAAATATTATCCAGCACACAGTTCAGTATTATTGGAAGAAATTGAGTGATAATTAAATTAATTGCTAAATCTAAGTTATTTTTATCAACTAAACCATCCTAAATTCAAAAGTAATAATTGTACAGCAATAAATCATAATTCTCGCGTCAAATAATTTTTTCTCGTAAAGACGCTTGTCTACCACAATCGCTGCAGACTTTGATCCATAGGTACTTGCTCCATATAATTCACGTACTGCATTTGGTAATTAGGTGCAGTGAGATAATTCGTAAAACCATACTCGCTGTTAGAGACGTCCATATGTCTGTCAGTCATAAGCTGTTTACTGTCGGATTGAACGTTTTTCAGGTCTGGATACGACGCGGTTTCGTTGCCGCTCGCGCATGTTTTAAATTCCGTCTTAATTATTCGATTGCAATCGAGCACACTTGGTGGAATTTCCGTCGCAAAGTTACTCCTGTATTCCTGTACTCCTGGATTCAGCACGTGCTGCCTGTCAGCCATATCGTTCAGACTCGATCTTCCAGGCATTTCCTCCGGTTTGTAATCCGGGCTTATATTGGAATCGATTCTCATCTCGTTCGAATTGGACCTGAAATCAGGACTGAGACGAATCTCGTTGGTCCTGAAATCCGTTTGCATCCCACCGTTGAGATCCGATCGGACGTTAGGCCAGTAAGAGCCGTTGTAAGATTGCTGTACATTAGGTTTGCCATCCTTGATGAGAATCGGCACGGCGATCTTCTTCAGAGATTGATTCTTCATGTTTTGCGCCTGCAGTTTTTCAGCGTCTTCAATCCGGGCGCGTTTGTTCTTATATCTTCGATTTTGGAACCAGATTTTTACTTGAGTGCTAGTTAATTTCAGGCTTTGAGCCAACATCTCTCGCTCAGGTGCGCTGAGGTACCTCTGTTGTTTGAATCGCTGCTCCAGTTCGTAAACTTGTGTCTACGAAACGGATGGTCGTTAAAATACAACGCTTCGTGCTATTTAATATTTATTTCATGCAAAATGTCTATGCAAGAATTTTTACGGAAATAATTTAAAATGTACAAAGTTAATTCTATAAACAAAACTATTTTTATAAAATAACTCAAAAAATCTATAAAATAATTTTGCAATTTAGATTACAGTTATGCCTCGCTTTCCAAATAAAATAATTTATTCATTGATTATAATGAATGCAAAACATTAAACATACTTGCGAAAATAACACTCTTGGCTTCCGTTTCGTTCTTTTACCAGATTGGTTTTTGCGCAATTCCGTTTTGCTTGATGTAACAATGTTGCCTAAAAATTTACAAAATAATATGATTCCGATCCTATCAATTATAATAATATTGCTTATTTAATTTGTTTCGAAAAAATAATCTCTCTTCTTATGATCTTTGATTTTGATTTTCTTCATATTTCTTTTGTAAATTAAATAAGTGAAAAAAATATGTATTGTAATAATTTATGAGATAACAGCAATGTATTATCTTCTTCGCGACAATTATTTTAATGAGAAATACGAGATTCTATATTTCATTCAGCGTCAAGACTATTGAAAAATTATATTGCAATGATAAAAATGATTCAATTTTAAGTTATTTTCGTAAAGAGAGAATTACCGTCTTCTGTGATAGAAGTCTCCTGGTACGGCGGTACCACCTGACTCAACTGGTGAACGTGATTGAGATCCGAATAATGTTGATAACTAGACATCGGTTGCTCTTTGAATTTATCCATTTCCCAGTTGTTCTCTGGCATGACGTTATATGAATAATAATCTTGATGTGCATGTTGTTGAGATGCTTGATTCTGATGATGTCCATAACAATCCATGACTCCGAGCTGTTGATCCTCACTGAGAATATCACGAACGCTGAATGCTGAACGCTGAGTCGATACCGAAGAGGATAACATTCTAAAGCATTCTTCAATCGAATAATTTTGTTGAATGTCTTGACGATCAACACAATTTCTTTTGTGTTTTTTTCTTAAGCTGATCTCATCTTTGTAATTTTTAAGAAATCTTGATAATCGAAGCGTTTCTTCTTCGTCAACTTGAAAACTTGTTATGCCATCGTAATATTCTTGATTAATTAATTAAATTCCAACTGTTAATTTGCAAAATAATGTGTAATTTTTCTCTCCGTAGAAATCTTGATAGCTTCTTCAAGTATCAAACTTGATTACAAGTCCATATGTTTATCAAAATTAAATTCACGCACAAAAATCTTGACAGCTCGACATTCTTGCGAGCTGTAAAATTTAATTATATGGCCGTAAATAGGCCGTTTAAAATTAGCACGTGGTAGTCTTGACACTTCGCTTATGATGTCAATCGTCAAAATTCGGTAGCAACACACGATGAGAAAAACAGATCACTATGGCAAGTTCAATAATATATGGTAAATATTTTGAAATCCACAAAATCCGCGAGATTATGGCAAACAGGCGTTAATCGATGCACCAACTGTCTCTGTTTCGGGGGATGGTTACGGTTGAGTGGTCGGGTCGGAGGGCAGACGTATAATGTGACTTGGCTTGCAAGGGAGTCAAGTGTTGGTCCCGTCGTACAGGAACGTCACGACGATACGCGGATGCGAGTGTGAGAGTGCGTTTGTGTACGACTGGAGATTTTTACTACTATAGTTGCGCACGCTTTTAAACGATGCATCGAGATTTTCACAAAGTGATTAATTAAGAAAATATATTTCTTTTGAATATAATTAGTATGTATGTATATGAAGCAATAATATTATTAAGATAATTTCTGAAGTGTTTTTCAAATGCATAAAATCTTGTGCAATTTGAATATGTCAATAAATAATAAGCATAAAAATCTCTTATTATTAATTTAACTTTGAATATATTAAAATATTTAATGTAATAATAAGAAAAAATAATATAGTGCTATTTACTAACGCAGACGCATATCTATATGTGTAATAATAGTCTCAAATTTTATTTTATAATAATTCTGAGTATTTTCGTAAAATATCTATTTATTTTCTGCGTTATATAAATATCTATTTTGTCTAAAAAAAGTTAGAGTACCACAATGGAAAATCTGCTTTGAGTGTCAAAGATTTAGTGGTTTAAAATTTGGCGGAAAATCAATATGTATTAATATAAATCTTTTACATTCTTTTTAAAATTTCATAATGCAGAATATACAGAGATTAAAATTTTATAGATTTTCATTTCATAGAAAATTTAAAAATATTTCACTCTGAGAATCTTTTGATCCAAGTAATAGAATCAAGCTTAGCTGGCCAATAAAAGTTTTCCTATAGTTTTTGCTTATAGAAATCGCATAAAAGAGTACAATCAAAACGAGAATAACGACTATCACGAATAATATTAATAATGGATATAGAAAGTATCCGAATAATCGAGGAGATGGCAAAATATCTTTTTGCGTCGCGACAGCCATAGCCGTCAGCAACGTAAGGCGGAGGAGAATACGAAAGACCCGCCTATACCAGAAGAGTCTGACCAATCGAAACGTGCTGCGAGTTATGTTTCTAAAAGCAACGATTAAACGATCATTTGCGTAATACGTTCTCCCACGTTCTCCTTCGCTTAATCATCGCCGTTCTTCCAACGAAACAACGCAAGAAGTAATTAATTTGCATTTTTTTCGACTATTTTGCACATGCTTTTCAATTTACTATATAAATCGTTTCAAATTATTAAATACAAATATAATATATTATACGATATAAAGCGCCTTGCACAGATAAGCAACTAAAAGAATTATAAGTTGTTGAATTTTTAATCCTTCTTATAGTTTCTAAACGTGTTGTTTATTATAAAAATTTGTAGAGAAAATATATATAAATTGCGAATTTAAAATAATAACCCATCGTTCTCAGATTTCCATATTATTATTGTCTCCTTTGATTCAAGTAAATTAAACCAAGAGACTATTGAATAATCAGATAATAAATATTTATTGAATAGCCTATACAGCATAAATAAAAAAGGAGAAAAATGAATAAAATACTAAATATTAAGGAAGAATATAGAAAAAAGAATGTTTCATAAAAGATATCCAGAATTTTGGAATTTTATATCATTTTTTAAATTTCTTTTCTGTACTATCTTGCAATCTTTTTATCTAAATGTCGGCTTGTAGCAATATCAATATTTTTGGAACATCTCACAATCATTCCGTGTCCATGAAATTTGTCCTGTATGAATGCCCGCCGTCGGCAATCATCACACGTCGGCAAGTAACGGAAGAGACTTAAATTAATGCGATTTCTGCTCGAACAGAAAACGTGAAACAGTCCGCCGTCTAGACATCCAGATACACGCAATTGTCTGGACCACTCGTGAGAAGCGACAAAAGTCTCATTCGATGCGCTCGAGCGCAGAAACGCACAGTCGAGCTGACCTCTTCAAGCATAATAGAGAGCATCCTCTACATTTCCGCAAGTCTGCAAGTTTTGTCAAGCCGGCAGCAAGCAGCATGCTTTCCAATTTATCACTGTTTATAATGTCTCTATCGTCAACACATCCTCTGTTACACATGGCACGCCACAAAAAATACTAATTAAATTTCAAATATTTAAATAACAAAATGATAAATATTGAAATATTATACTGAATATAAATTAAATCTTGTACTTATTTATTTTAATGCTTAGCAAAAGAACTGATTATTTTTATCCATCCATTTATTATCTTTAGTCGGAATCTAAGAAATTAATCTAATCAATCAATTTCATTAAATAATACTTACAACTATATTATTATTCACACTATTTGTATTCGAAAGGAAAAACTTTATATTTTGAAAATTATGTTGTCAACACCACATAGCCTATTTTTTTCATGTAATAGATCGAAATTTATATTATCTTTTTTCAACTGCCACCTGTAAGACTTTCTTCTGATCTATTCCAGTTCCTGATATTGTTAAGTAATGCCGGTTCAATAAATACAAGAAAAAAAAAACAGATTCCGAATAAGTAGAGTCGCCATGGGCGGCATACGACCCCCCACGAGCATAGCGGAATACACGCCACCGTGCAAGATTTTTCTATAAACTGTATACGGATAGGGCATCTGAGGCCGCATACGGCTATTTAGACGCGAGGAGATAGCACAAAGGGCCCATTTATGCGGCAACACGAACGGGTCCGTCTTGCAACTGGACACCACATTATGCGGAGATCTTTTTTCACGGCCCTGGCTTAGTGTGCGTAATTAAAAGTGCATTGATTCTGCACATCTTACAATTAGATGTCTGATTATTCTCGATTTAGATATCAATTCTGGACTTTACTGTCAAAGTTCATGTATAAATACTCATAAATTTTGCATGTCTAATTGTCGAATGCAATAGAATTCACACGTCCTAATTATAATTTAAAAAACAAGAGTAAAATAATTTCTATGAAAATACATGCCGTGAGAAATATGAATAAAAAAATTATTAATTACGATTATTAGCTACAATTATAACAATACAAATACATATGTGAGCGCTTTAAATTCCCGAAAACATTCGCCGCTCATCTTACCAGGAAACGGCGTTATCTGTATACGGACTAAAAACAAGTGAAAGTTAGTTAAAAAATTTGTGAGGACGCTCACACGGTGCCAGGACTCTCCAGACGCCGGCGCTTCTTTCCCACAGTTAAGAAGGCGCCTGCCTCGCTATCTTTTGGCGCCTACCACGCATGAAGCCCAGCGTGTGTCCACGCACGCGCCGCTCTTGTGCGTGTATATAATTACACACATGACTGACAGGGCGCATTAATAAAATCGCGCCAGTTAACAAGAAGGCTTTATGGGAATTTAATAATTTACGATATTTTCCGTCGTCTTTGCGTACACTTATTTTTTTTACCAAACTACTTTTAATTTGTAATGTACAATTTTTAACATCGAATTGACACCGAATTATTTATAAAAGAATCTGTGAAATGTCCCAAACATATTGATATTGCTACAAGCCAATATTTAGATAAAAATTTTGTAAGAAAATCCATAATAAAATTAAAAAATAATATAGTAAAATTCTAAAATTGTAATATGTTCTTAGAATATCGTAAAACGGTCACACTTAAACTCAATTTAATTCTATATTGCATATTCTATTCTATTTAATCACAAGTATAGAAATATAATAATTACATAATATAATTCAAAGTATGAGAAAAACAAAATTTCAGGTACATCGTAATTTATATTCTATAATTGAGAATGAAAAATGCTATAACAATATATAATTAAACGTCAATTTTTGCCTAACTACGTTTTGTGTATTAATATAATTTCAACATTTTTTATCATATGTGATGTGAAATCAGTTTTTTAAGTGTAACAAAATATTCTTTGTTTGTTTCTAAAATAATTGTTTCCATAATTGCCTTTGTAATTGTTTCCAACTGTAGAAATAATTACATTTAAGATACTGACAAATTGTGAATTATAAGAATTATAAAAATTATAGCAAAACAAGACGCGGAAGATAGATACGCTGTACCGAGTTCGAGTTTCGTGGGGGCGATTTTTCGAATTCCAGCCACGGGCGTCAAGGGTTCCGGGCGCCTCTAGAAGCGCGTCTGGATTATGTTAGTTTCGACTCGCCAGTCGAAAAGGGCCGTGAGGATCTTCTCCTCCCGTTGCTTGGGGAAAAATGCATTGTTTTGTTTGCGCTTAAACTCCGTTACCCGAGAGCCTCGATACTGACAGCAAAACCACCCTGTCCAAATTATGACACGCTCCTCCTCTGTTCCGTGTCAGATGTCACGGTAACAATTAGCTTTTAATTCTTAGCAACCAAAAGGCGACATTTTTCAGAGAAATAAATTATAGGAATTACAAAGATTATGGCAGTAAAAGATGCGAGAGATAAACGCGTTGTACCGAGTTCGAGTTTCGAGCCAGCGATTTTTCAAATTTCTTTATAACATTTCCCTCCCAAAATCATATTTTAATATAAAAATTAAATTAATGCAAAATAAATTTTCAATGGTTAGAAATACGGTCTTGAGAAAATGGTATTTCTAAAATATCGATCTAATAATTCAATAATTTTAGATTAAAATACCGGTATCGTGAGATTTGTTGTGTTTGTTCCTCTATACTCATATAAGTATGTTTACTTTTTCAGATTTATATAAGAGCATGTAATTCAGCAATTGTTATCGAATTTCAAAACGCTTTAAAATTAAAAACGAACACGGGAAGATGACGAACGTGGGAAGATGACGACTCTTATAAAGATAAACTAATCCTTCTCTTTTAGATCAACAATTTTAACTGCTTGCAATATGTTTTTTTCTTATTAAATTTACAATAATTTCTCTAACAGTTTTTTATTGCACTTTCATCCAATATCTATTTAACGTTCTATCTAAACGCAAAAAATGTAGTATGTAAAATGACTTTTAATGTCATTGGTGATATCAGAGATAAATCTAAAGATGGCTATCTCAATGTTTTTCGCAAAACATTTATTGGTTCCTATCCAGTACCTTCAGCATT